TAGCGTTTGTTTGAGTTCCTTCCTTCAAGCATGTTACAAAAACGAATTTTTCTTTTACGATTGCATGTGAAGTCATACATTATAACCATAACCAAGCATATACCAAGAGTAAATCAAACTTTTCTCCATGTTTATAACTCTTTTTAACAGTCATGCAATTACAAACCAAATCCTCATCATTGTGTTGGAAGGTACCCTAAGACACAAACACACAAAAACGACTCAAAACACTCTTTTTAGGCTTTTCAAAACATGTTTTTCAAATTTTTATGTGATTTTCGGAGTTATAAAACAAAACACACTAAAACACTCCAAAACAGCTTAAAAACACTTTAAAACAGCAAGGAACAACACTTGAAGTTATGGGTGATAAAATCCCACGAATTTGCATCAAATAAACTTAGTTACCCCCCCCCCCCCCCCCCCCCCCACACTTAAATCAAACATTGTCCTCAATGTTTTAAACATAAAGTCACACAAAACACAAGTAAACACACAAACAGCAACTAAACAACATAACATGGCAGATTAGAAACAACAACAAAGAGAAGGGTTTGAGGAACGCAAATCTGGAATTTGGGGGATTCCTAGGGCTTCCTTTGTTGAATGGATGGGTTGCCTCCCACATAGCGCTTGCTTTAATGTCGTGCAGCCGGACGAACACCTCCATCAAGCATCAGGGGAAGCCACGGCATGGAGGAATGTTTCCTCCACAACATGCTCCTCAAACAAAGTGTAATAAGGCTTCAATCGATGCCCATTTACCTTGAACTCGTGGCTACTTTTTAAGCTTTCGACTTGGACTGCACCATGAGGAAAAACATTAGTAACAACAAAAGGTCCAATCCATTTCGAACGTAACTTACCAGGGAATAACCGAAGTCTTGAATAAAAAAGCAACACTTTCTGCCCCTTGGAGAATGTTTTGGTACGAAGCATCTTATCATGATAAGCCTTCGTCTTGTCTTTGCAGATGCGAGCATTCTCGTAAGCCTCGTTCCTCATCTCCTCAAGTTCATCTAACTGGAGCTTCCTATGAACGCCAGCAGCGTCTATGTCCATATTGAAGGTTTTCACAGCCCAATGTGCCTTGTGCTCTAACTCAATGGGCAAATGACATGGCTTACCATAGATAAGCCGAAAAGGTGACATGCCAAGGGGAGTTTTGTAAGCCGTACGATAGACCCAGAATGCATCGTCCAAGCGCAAACTCCAATCTCGTCTTGAGGGTCCCACAGTTTTTTCTAGAACTTGTTTGATCTCCCTATTTGAAACCTCAGCTTGCCCATTAGTTTGAGGGTGATAAGGTGTTGAAACCTTATGCGTAACGTTGTACTTCTTGAGCAAAGCTTCAATGGTACGGTTACAAAAGTGAGAACCCCCATCACTGATTAAAACTCGTGGCATCCCAAACCTAGCAAAAATATTAGATTTCACAAAATCTGCAACAACCTTAGAATCGTTAGTACAGGTGGCTTTGGCTTCCACCCATTTGGAAACATAATCGACAGCTAGCAAGATGTAAGTGAAACCAAAAGATGGAGGAAAGGGGCCCATGAAATCAATACCCCAAACATCAAAAATTTCCACAAAAGAGAGAGATTGCTGCGGCATTTGGTCCTTAGGCCCTATGTTACCTGTTCTTTGACACTTATCACATGTTAAACAAAACATTTTAGCATCTTTAAAGAGATTAGGCCAATAAAATCCAGATTGTAACACCTTTAGGGCTGTCCTTTGGGTGCCAAAATGTCCCCCACATGCATAAGTATGGCAGAATGTAAGAATGGAATTAAATTCAGATTCGGGCACACATCTACGCACAATCTGATCTGGGCAGAATTTCCATAAATATGGATCATCCCAAACATAAAAACGTGCATCATGAACAAGTTTATCACGTTGGAACTTGCTTAGGGTACTAGGAACTTGCTTAGACACCAAGAAATTGACCAAATCGGCATACCAAGGGGTTCTTACCTCAATGGACAGAAGTTGCTCATCTGGGAATGTTTCTAAGATGGGAATGGACTCTTCTTTACCCACCATTTGGCTAAGGTGGTCAGCCACCACGTTTTCACATCCTTTCTTGTCTCGAATTTCAAGATCGAACTCTTGAAGTAGGAGCATCCAACGAATGAGTCTTGGCTTGGCCTCCTTTTTGGTGAGAAGATACTTCAAGGTTGCATGGTCAGTGAAAACAATTACTTTAGTACCAAGAAGATATGATCTAAACTTATCTAATGCAAACACAACAGCCAAGAGTTCTTTTTCGGTTGTGGAATAATTTAGTTGGGCATCATTCAACGTCCGTGAGGCATAGTAGATGACATGCGGTCTCTTGTCTTTCCTTTGCCCTAAAACAGCCCCTAGAGCATAATCAGATGCGCCACACATTAACTCAAAAGGGAGACTCCAATCAGGTGGAACAATGATTGGTGCCGTGGTCAACAACTCCTTGAGTTGATTGAATGAAGCCATGCATTCCTTGGTGAATTCAAATGCCACTTCTTTTTGTAGGAGACGGCAAAGAGGTTGTGCAACTTTTGAGAAGTCTTTGATAAACCTACGATAGAATCCTGTATGACCAAGAAAAGAACGAACCTCTCTAATCGAAGTCGGAGAGGGTAAGTGACGTACAAGATCTATTTTGGATTTGTCAACTTCAATGCCGTTTTCAGAGATGATATGACCTAAAACTATGCCTTGTTTAACCATGAAATGACAGTTTTCCCAATTAAGAACAAGGTTAGTTTCAACACAACGTTTTAGAATCAAACTAAGATTATGCAAGCAACCATCAAAAGAATCACCAAAGACGCTGAAATCATCCATAAAAACTTCAATGATTTTCTCAACATAATCAGAAAATATGCTCATCATGCATCTTTGAAATGTAGCAGGTGCATTACATAAACCAAAAGGCATGCGACGATATGCAAATGTACCAAAAGGGCATGTGAAAGTTGTTTTTTCTTGGTCCTCGGGTGCTATGACAATTTGATTATAACCAGAGTAACCATCAAGAAAACAATAGAAAGCATAACCCGCTAACCTTTCGAGCATTTGGTCAATGAACGGCAATGGAAAGTGGTCCTTCCTTGTGGTGGCGTTTAGCTTCCTATAGTCGATGCACACCCTCCAACCAGTTTGAATACGCGTAGGAACAAGCTCATTCTCGGCATTTTCAACCACAGTCACTCCGGATTTCTTTGGAACGCATTGCACGGGCGAAACCCACCTGCTATCAGAAATAGGATAAATCACTCCACAATCAAGTAATTTGATTACCTCTTTCTTCACTACTTCCATCATCGGAGGGTTGAGACGGCGTTGAGCCTCTCGAGATGTTTTGGACCCCTCCTCTAGAAGTATGCGATGCATGCACATAGTAGGGCTGATTCCCTTTATGTCGGCCAAAGTCCATCCAATTGCCGTTTTGTACTCTTTAAGCACTCGCACCAATTTGTTCTCCTCTTGTGCCGTGAGTGAGGATGAGATGATGACGGGCAATGTCTCATCCTCGCCCAAGAACACGTACTTCAAGTGACTAGGCAACGGCTTAAGTTCAAGTATAGGTGGCTGCACAACTGAGGGAAGCATTTTATTAGCCGAAACTGAACTTAGAATAAGGTCCAAAAACTTACCTGAATGTGATGGCAATGACTCGAGGGCAGCCACCATCTCAATCATATCCTCACTAGGGGGCACGGCCAAGGATTCCTCTTTCATGCCGTGGGGTTCCTTGGTGGTTGTTTCGATGTTTTGCATGTCCCTTCCTTGTGCAATGACCAATTCAAGTGCATCGTCCTTCCAATTGTCCAAATGCGCCAAAGAGTCAATTATATCAATAGCAAAACATGAATGATTCTCACTAGGGTACTTCATAGAATCCGAAAGACTGAAATTAATAACTTCCCCATCAAATTCCATTGTCAAAGTGCCATTATATACGTCAATCTTCGTACGAGCCGTTTTCCTCAATGGCCTTCCAAGGTGGATGGGCAATGAAGGGGTATGGTCGGATTCATCCATTTCAAGCACATAGAAATCTGCCGGAAAGACTAAATGATTGACCTGCACTAACACATCTTCCAAAACTCCCTTTGGATAGGCATTAGATCTATCGGCCAATTGTATAATAACACCATCGTTTCTCAATGCTCCTAGATTCATAGATGCATAAATTGAATATGGCATGACATTTATTGATGCACCTAAATCTAACATGGCAGATTCAAAATGAGTATTACCAATGACACATGGAATTGTAAAACTACCCGGATCCTTGCATTTAGGGGGCAGTTTCCTTTGCAAGATGGCTGAGACGTTTTCACCCACTTTTACAACCTCCTTGGTCGAAATCTTCCTCTTATTAGTGCAAAGTTCCTTCAAGAACTTGGCGTACCTCGGGACTTGCTTGATTGCATCCAAAAGAGGGATATTGACTTGAACTTTCCGAAACGTCTCGAGAATGTCCTTTTCGGCTTCCTCTTTCTTTGTTTGCATGAACCTGCTAGGAAAAGGCACATTCGAAGGAAAAACATTAGTAGGAACTGAACTTAACACGTTTTTACCTTTAATGGACCGATTTGAGGTCTTAGACTCATCCAATGCTTGCGGCAAAGGTGTTTCCACCTTTGCCGTGGGTAGGCTTTGTTCTTCTGCTTCAATTCTCAACTCTTCCTCTTCATTGGAACGTTGTTTGGATGGTCCGTGGTCAGATCCAACTTGTTTCCCACTTCGCAAACTTATGGCTTTTGCAGATTTGAATCCACCTTTCGGATTCACCTGTGTTGAACTTGGTAACTTACCTTATTCTCTACTAAATTGCCCCATGAATTCAGCCATTTGTCCCACTTGTCTCTTCAACTCAGTCACCTCTTGAGCTTGATTTTGCACCTCATTGGCGTAATTGTGCATGTCATTTGCTTGTTTTTCTTGCCCCTGCGCCAATGTAGTTAGCAATTGAATAACTTGAGAATTATCAAAAGACGAACCTGAATTGTTTTGGGACGATGGTGGTTGGTTGGATTGGTATGGCCGTGGAAACCCAGGGGGATTTGGTTGAAATCCCCTTTGTTGTGCAGATTGTTGGGGCTCTCTCCACTTGAAATTAGGGTGATCTCTCCGCCCGGGGTTGTAGGTGTTGGAGTACGGATCATATTTGGGTTGGTTTTGGCCTTGGAAACCAATGGCATTGGCAGATTCCCATCCTCCATTCTCTATCAACTGAGGGCATGTCTCGAATGGATGCCCTTGCATTGAACACACGCCACACACTTGGTTTTCTTGTGGTTTTGACCCGTTGACAACCTGAGACACAAGAGAAGTAAGATTAGCCAATTGTGATTGAATGTCAGAAATTGCACTTACCTCATTTGCACTTTGTTGCCGTGGCCCCTCTCTTTGTCCAACACCTTCATATTGTTGAGCATTGTGTGCTCAGTTTGCAATTAGAGTTTTGGCATCCACCAGAGTCTTGTCCACTAATGCACCACCCGCCGAGGCATCTAGCATTTGACATTCCATGGGAAAGAGTCCTTCGTAGAAATATTGAATGAGCAGCTCATCCTTCATTTGATGTTGTGGACATGAAGCAACAAGTGATTTAAAACGTTCATAATAAGATGGAAACGACTCACCTTGATTTTGTTGGATGCCACTAATTCGTTTCCTCAAGAGAATGATCTTTGCAGTGGGAAAGAATTTCTCTAAGAATGCACGTTTCATACTTTCCCAAGAATTGACAGTTCCGGGGGCCAATTCAAACAACCAATCTTTGGCCTTGTCCACAAGGGAGAATGGAAAGGCCTTCATCTTCAAAATACTCCCATCCACGTTGATGGGTGTCATACTTGAGCAAACTACTTCAAATTCCTTAAGATGTTTGTTAGGATCTTCCATGGACTGTGATAGGAGCATATTTAGGCGACTTACTTAGCTTGTATTCATGCATTTATGTTGTTAATTCATAGTTGTTTTAGTATTTTAAGACATTTTCGTATGTTTTTAGGTTATAATGGCAAATGGAGCAAGAAAGTGCATTTTGAGGCTATTTGGAGCATTTTTGGCCATCATCGTGCATCGTCTTGCAGTCAAGCCTGGAACACGACCAATAAAGCAAACTCAAAGATACTAGCTATCCGTGCTCATCCTACAAATTGAGGCCAAGATTGACAAGCAAATCGAAGCAGGCTTTATTCGACATGTGCAATACCCTAAGTGGATCTCCAACATCATCATTGTCCTTAAGACATCTGGACAAATGCGTGTTTGCGTAGATATCCACGACCTCAACGATGCTTGCCTGAAGGATGACTTTCCCTTGCCAATCATCAAAATCATGGTGGACGCACCCACTGGCCATAAGGCACATTCATGGATGGCTCCGGTGGATATAATCAAATCCGCATGGCTTCTAAATATGAGAAACTAATAACCTTCCATACTCCAAAAAGAATCTACTCCTACAAGGTAATGCCATTCAGCTTAAAGAACGCTAGGGCTACATATTAATAAGCAATGAAGAAAATCTTCAATGACATGCTACAAAAAACGTAGAATGTTACGTAGACGACGTAGTTGTCTAGATCAAAAAAAGATTTGATCACTTGAAGGATTTACGAGTGGTGTTCGACAAACTACGATGCTACAACCTCAAGATGAACTCGTTGAAGTGTGCATTTGGCATCACCTCTGGGAGTTCCTCACTTCATTGTCGAGCATCGTGGCATTAAAGTAGACCAATCAAAGATCAAGGCCATTCAAAGCATGCTTGAGCCAAGAAACTTACTTGAGCTGAAAAGTCTACAAAGGTGACTTGCCTTCATCAGATGCTTCATCTCCAACCTCACTAGAGGTTGTCAACCCTTTAGTCGACTTATCCATTCATATAGGATGACGCATGCCGCATTGCCTTCGAGAGCATAAAATCGCATTTGGCAAGCCCACCCATCTTAAGAGTACCCGCCCCTGGAAAGCCACTCACCCTATACATTACTGTATAAGAGGGTTCCATTGAAGCACTCTTAGCACAAGAAAATGAAGACCAAAAGGAAAAAGCACTCTACTTCCTAAGTAGAACTTTCACTGGTGCCAAGCTCAACTACTCACCAATCAAAAAGATGTACCTTACCTTAGTCTTTGTCGTCCAAAAGCTTAGACACTATATCCATGCATACACCATCCACGTAGTTGCTAAAGCCGACCCGGTCAAGTACATTATGTCCAAGCCGGTTTTGATAGGGCAACTAGCTAAATGGGCGTTGCTGCTCAACCAACACGAGATCATCTACGTCTCAGCCAAAGCCGTTAAGGGATAAGCCCTAGCGGACTTCATTGCCGATCACCTAATCTTAGCCGATTGCAAAATCTCAGACTACTTGCCTGACGAGGAGGTGTTTTACATTGACATATTCCCGATGTGGACAATGCTCTTCAACGGATCCACACGAAAGAATGGAGCGGGGGAAAGAGTAGTATTCATGTGACCACAAAAGCAAGTACTACCCTATTCTTTCCAATTAAGCGAGTTGTGCTCCAACAATGTCGCTGAGTACCAAGCGCTAATCATTAGACTCAAAATGGCGATCAACATGGAAATCACAACGCTAAAAGTTTATGGTGACTCCAAACTCATAATCATTCAACTCCTGACTGAATATGAAGTGAGGAAAGATGATCTCAACCTAGACTACCAACTAGCAACTCAACTGCTACAAAAGTTTGAGGTCACGACGCTAGAACATGTGCCAAGAAAAGAAAAACAAATGGCGGATGTTCTTGCTAACTTAGCCTTAAGTATGGCGCTAGGAGAAGGTGAAGCTATAGACATGCTAGTTTGCCAAAGATGGATGGTCACACTTGTCGCTGAAATGCTACTAAATGACACAAATGTCATCTCAGTACTTCCAGTCGACATTGATGAGTGGAGACAGCCGCTGATCGACTACTTGGAGCATGGAAAGCTTACAGTCGATCCTAGACACCACTCTAAAATACGTTAATGACTGCCTCGCTTCTTCTACTACTGATAGGAGCATATTTATGCAACTTAGTTAGCTTGTTTCTTGGCATTTATGTAGTTAGTTTCTAGTTATTATAGTGTTTTAAGCTATTTTCGTGTGTTTGTAGGACCAAAGGGCTAAAGAGCCAAGAAAATGCATTTTGGAGCATTTTAGAGCAGTTTCGGGCTTGGAATGAATAGCACATGCATGGAGCAAGGTGGATGGATGAAATTGAAGACCAAAAGAGGCTGGGAATGTGCTAAAGAGATGAAGTAAATAAATTGAAGAAAAGGAAAACAAGAAGGCTCGACAAGAAAGAAGGAATGTTGATAGGAGCATATTTATGCGACTTAGTTTGCTTGTTTTCATGCATTTATGTTATTAGTTCTTAGTTATTTTAGTTCTTTAAGCTTCTTTTGTGTGTTTTCAGGTTCATGAGACGTATTTGGCGAAAGGATGCATTTTGAAGCCTTTTGGAGCACTTTTGGGCACAAATTGGATAGCTTATGCTTGGAGCAAAAGGAATGGACGAAATTGAAGAGTTGATGTCGCAAGGATTCCTACTACGACGAGGATTCCAATTACGAGAAGGTTTCCAAATTGAAGGAGGTTTCCCACTCACATGAGGATTCCTAGTTGGACGAGGATTCCTAATCACACAAGGTTTCCTATTGGAAGTAGGAAAGTTAAGCCAAAGTTTCCTATTTTGGTTGACCTTTCCTAAATCAAGAACGCTCTAAGTTTTAGCACTTAAGATGGCTCTCGAGCACCCTTGGACAACAAACAAAGGTTCTTTGCAACTTTCCCTTCCTTGCCGTGCAAGGAAGGTTGTTTCCCTTTCTTTGTGTAAACTTCCCTATTTTCCAGATGTGTTAGGACCTTTCCCTTATTCTAACACCTCTTGTTTTGTGCCTTACCTTTCCCTAAACTTTATGCCGCACCTCCCCTTGTGTTTCCAGATTTCAATTTCTTATTTCCTAGTTTAATTCACTTTCCTAGTTCTAAAACTTTCCCTAAAGTCCTAATTTCTGATTTCTTGCAAGGAATTGACCTTTTCCTTCCTTTTTTTGCACCAATTTCGTTTCTTACCTTAAATTCCCTTTCCTTGCTGTGCAAGGGGTTTAATTTCTGATTCCTTGCAAGGCAAGGACATTCCTTATTTGTTTAAATTCGTGCATCCCCTTTTTCTGATTTTTTTGGGACTTTATTCAATTACCTTTTCTATTTAGACTAGGAAATCTGAATCATAACTTAATTAGGTATGTTATTAACTTCCCAAAACACATATAATCAGCCCTTGGCCGAACCCTAGAGTATCATTCACCACAGAAAATCGTCCATTCACTCCCACACACATCCATTCTTCCCAAAACACCATTCTGCAACCCAGAAACACAACCAGCCATTCCACCTTCTTCCACCATCATTGCCGAGTCCTCCACCACCTTCCAACCATCAAACACTCATCCACACTCAACCTACATCCCTTGCCGTGCCTTTAAACACCCCAAAATCCATTCTACATCATCAAAACAACCCAGAAACCATCACCACCCAATCTGCCGCAAGCAAGGGAAAGGAGACAGATTCACTCAATTGTTTGGCTCTTCATTCTGAGTTGTTGAACAATTTTAGGTGTATTCTATCTTATATTTCAATGTCTAATTCATGTAATCTTTGTTTTGCTTTGAGTATGATTGGCTAAATTCGTTTTGGCTAAGGGTGTATTCGAAACCATGATTATATATGTGAAATAAGTTGATTACTTCCAGTTATCGTTGCATAAGTCGTGAATACAATTTGCTTAACCGTTTGATTTAGAACTTATTCTTGTATGTTGATTGAGAGTGCACGCTTAATTTGCATGCTTGAATCTGTTGCTAGGGTATAAGTTTGTTTCACCTAATCGTTATGAATTTATATTCGCAAGTAGTGAAGGTCGCTAGTCACCCATGGATGCCAAAACTCTCATTGCTAATCGAGCACTCAACGCACAACAATATGAAGGTGTTGGGCAGAGAGACACCCCACGGCCACATCATGTAAATGAGGTAAGTTCTATTTCTGAGTTACAATCCCAAATGGCTAACCTTACATCTATGTTATCGCAGTTTGTTGAAGGCCCCAAAATGCAAGGAACTACAATCTGTGGTGTATGCTCCATTCAAGGACACCAATTTGATCAATGCCCTCAATTAATTGAAAATGGAGGGTGGGAATCTGCCAATGCCGTGGGTTATGGGAATCAAAACCAACCAAGGGGTGATCCTTTCTCTAATACATACAATCAGGGATGGCGTGACCACCCCAATTTCAGATGGAGGGATGCACCACAACATGCCCAACAAAGTGGATTCCGACAACCCCCGGGTTTCTTTCCAAGGCCAATGGCAC